AACCATTCCAAATCCCAAGCCTCCAAACGGTGGACCCCCTAAAGTACGTTCCGTTTAGCTTTCCCTTTGCACAAAAAAAAATCCCTTGCACCAAAAAATCAAAAACGGGCACCGACTCCCAACAGATCGAGCCGTCACCAACGCAAGTCGAGGGCGCCGGCCGCCCCCGGCCTCCTCCATGCCCTCCGGGCCGAACCACGCCTTGGGCATGCCCCGCTCCAAGCCCCGCCTGAAGCGGACCACCTGGCGGAGGGTTCTGGGGCTTGGGCCAAAAGTGGATCAAGCCACTTGCTTCTGAGGGTGGCCTCCCCAGATGGCTGGTCAAAACCCAGCAAACCCCTGGTGAACATCAAAATAGGTGGTACCTGGGTGTTCATCTGCCCCAAAATGGGCCCATGCAGATGTGGCCAGCCCCGACAGCTTCATCCGTCCTCCTCGTTGAAAACCGAGGAGCTGCCGTACGACGCAGAGGCCTGCGCAAGGCTCCAGCGAGCGTCCCCCACCAGACCATGGTCAAAACTGGCCACGGCACCCTGAAGAAGCCGTGCGGAAACCCCTCAGGTGACTGTCCCGGCAAGGTGTGGAGAGGCCAACGCCAGCCGCGCACCGAGAGAACCCCTGCCTTCATTCTCAGCACCTGAGAAAGCCGAGAAGGAAAAAAAAAAGATTATAAAAAAAGGCGCGAGAGATCGGGCGGCGCTTTCCGCGGGGACCTCGCAGCTCCCTTTTTTGGTAGGTTTGAAAGGACATGCAAAAGCAGACCCACCATTTTGGAGGGTCCCCCATAGCAACCATCGACTTTTTGGCCCCCCTAGTGCCAAAGGCTTGGAGCAGCATCTTAGGCTCCCCACCGTTGGCTGCAGCTCCAGGCCTTGCAAACGGCGGAAAAATATTCTTCTTTTTAAGGGTTGAAGGGCCCTGGCCGGGGTTTTCCCCCTTTTCAAGCTGGAAACCCAAGGAACGTGCTGTGGATGGTTGCGACATCCATTTCGCACCACGAAATGAAACCATGGTTGAAACCATACCGTTCGTTGGTCTTTACAGGGGAATCATTCGTCTCTCGTCTCCTAGGTGGTGCAGGAGTTCGTCCTTCCACAGTAGTACTTGCGCTTTGTTTTGATTGATTTATCTCGTGCAGACTAACCTGCGGTTCAAAAGCTTGCTCGAACAGGTGAGAGCACTATGAGCCCTGTTCCATTTGAACCATGACGGGGCTGGTGAGAAAAGTGCACAGACAGCCTTCAGGTTTCCCTGCTTGATCACTTCGACTTAAAACCCCAGGAATGCTCTGGCGGGAATCATCCCCCATCGAACAATGGCAGTGACTTCCCCTTGCTCATCTTGGCCAGATGAAGCCACATGGCTTTGGGTACAACATAGGTACCGGAAATGGAACCCTGGCAAATGGAACCAAGGACTCAAACCTGCGCACTCCTGGTGGTTACTTGTTTGACCCGTACCCACATGTTGCCTTCATGCAAATCCCGCTGACCGGGTTGTACAGTGCTGACAAAGGTTGTATAGGGTCGAGTGAGGTTGTGCTAATCAGGCGGGCCTTGGACTGGCCATGATTGCTATGCTTCACCTTTTACCGTGCACGCATTGCCTGCTGAATTGACAGTCGGGCTGATATCAAACAACATGACTCCTCTTTTGGGGCCTTTCGTTTGGGCGCTGCGGCGTTGTCTGGTGTTTTTGTGTTTGGGTGGCCCACCTTTGTTTCTGGCTATTTGTTTTTGTTCTTCGGTCTTGTTTTCGAGGAAAAAGTGTTCCCGCCAGTCATGTAGTTGTTGCCAACAGCGAGCCCGTGATGTCATCGCGGTGCCCAAGAAAACAGAAACGTCTTTGTTGCCCATGGCCCATCTAAACTCCAAATTTACTCAGCCGCATTCCTTCTGGCACACAGCCATAGTGAGCTGTGTCTAGAATTCAAGTCAGTCTTCATTTTACTCAACCTGGGGACAGTGTAATCAGTCATACTTCCAGTCCTGGAGGAAACCTACCAGCACTTCTCACTTCCGGAATGCGCCAATGCCAGCTGGATTCCACATTGCATGTCTCTCTCAAATTGGGGAGATCGGTTTCCTTTTGATGCCCTTTCAAAACCAAAAGGAGGGGGGGGTCCGGAAAAAGGACATCCCCTAAAAAGATCCCCCAAAATGCCTGGGCTTCCTTTTGATGAAATGGACCTCCCCTCAATTCAAACATGCGAACCAGCCTACCGAGCTCACTTTAGCTGGGACCCCGAGCCCTCCTCGCTGGGAGCAAGGTCCACATTGGGCGGCGGGTCCTACATAGGCGGCCCGCTTTGCGCGCTGCGCGCGGTGCGGCGAACTTGGGTTCACTTTGAAGCCCCTCAACAAGCACACACACGCACGCACGCACGCACGCACGCGCGCACGCACGCACGCACCCACCCACACACACAAGCAAACAAACAAACAAACAAACAAACAAACAAACAAACAAACAAACAAACAAACAAACAACGGGTCCATGAATCCAAGTTGCTAAGGGGAAGGTATCTTTTAAGTTCGAGTTCCAGTCGTCCTTTCCAGGGCCAGCCCTCTTGATTGACTCGGAATCAAAAGGACATAAGCCGCTCGGCCCACGAGGTGTTCCCAACATGTGCTTCTAGAAAGAAGCGGGTATGAGCTTTGATTAGAGACCCTTTGGTGGTCATCATTTCGGCGGGTCCCGATTTATGCCCACCAACCACTTTTGAGGAGGTTCCCCATTAAAATTGGTGTGCAACTGCCTTGGGGAAAGCTTGAAAAGCTGCGCAGGGGCTGGAAATCATGACCCTAACGTCAAGTCGAAAAATGATCGAGGTTCAGTGGTAGCCCTTGCGCTTAAAGTCCCTGTGTCGAAGCTTGGTGCATCTGGCTGTGGGTCAAAAATAGGTACCCAAAATGAAACCCCGGTAAATGGAACCAAGGGCTAAACCCTGCGGTCCAATTCCTGGCGGTTTTATTTCGACCCACATCCAGGAAAGAAAGCCAACCGCACGCCTTCGGCTCTCCGGCTTTCCCTACCTCTCATCTCACCCCCCGTCGGCACCTCCCGCAGGTCTGACTTCAACCGGTCCAGCACAGCGCCTAGGGTGTCTGTAGGTTGCAGGACGCATTGCTGAAAATTTGTTGGGGAAGCCACTCGTCCACTCTTGGAAGAAGGGTATATAAACTTGTGAAAGGAAACCAAAAATAAACCAAAACGCAGAGTGCGGCCCAGCTGGCAAACATATCTCTGAGGGTCCCCTTATTAACTTATCCTAACTGATAGGGGAATAAGACGGACAAAAGGCTTTGCCCACGTTCACCGAGCTTCGCCACGCTTAGCCGAGAGGCTGTAGACACGCCACTCCTCCCCCTCCTTGCGAAGCCGTGTGGCGCGCGCATGTGTGCCTTATTCTTGCTCCCGCTTTAGCTCCAAAACCTTGGCTTCATTCGGTATCGAATTTTGGTGACGCACAAAAATGGCTGGTCCTCTTCGCTTCCCCTTAAAACCAACCGAACGCGGCGCCAACCAGCGGATCCAAACAGAGACCTACGTGGCTCGTGTCCTGTGTGGACCGCTTCCACAAGTCGGGGTCGTGCTGAAGCAAATACCTGCGGGCTAGCACCATCGTTTCAAAAAAAATACTTGAGCAGCCTTCATGGCAACTGCAAAAAAGGCTATTCTGATCATCCCCTCGTCTCCTGCAGTGAAATCAGACTTGTGGGCTTGGAGCGATCCAACTTCAAAAGCGGCAAAGTCTCCGCATGCTCTTCTGCAATGCTTGGGAGACGTGTTCAGGCGGGCACTGGATGTAAGAGGGCGGCAAGTTGTGGTGAAAAGTGAGGGCAGCGACAGCTTTGGCCACATGTTCCTGCCAAGTGCACCAGCTGCGTTGACTTGTTTTTCTCAGGACAACCTTTAGTGGACAGCATTTACCATGAAAAGTGTCTGTCCCATGTGAGGCTTACTGAAACCCATACGCCTCTCTGGACACCAAGATTCATCTGGGTGCCTTTTCCAAGGGCTCTGAAGGGTTTCTTGCGGGAATCGAGCCCCCAGAAAGTCAACCGCGGAGGAACGGCAGTGACTCGACTCGGTGCCACGGAAGAAAGCCTCTGGGCCTCTGGACAAACGCCGCCCCCAGCTTTGACACAACATACTCGAGCCACGGTCGAGTGTCCCCCAGCAAGATTTGGTGACTCTGCCCATTGTCATCCCCCTAACTACATCACCGCAGCTATGGGACATGGCTTTGTTTGAAAATAGGGCCCACACCCCCTACATGGTGCACACCCCCTACATGGTGGTTTTCCTAGTTTCCGCTGTAAACCACCCCAGAAGCGTTCCCTTGGAAAACAACAACACGCCCACGTCGTTGCATATTGACCGCTCACTCTCCGCAAGATGTCAGGTACACCCCGCTCCCACCTCAAGCAGTGACGAGTCGAAGTCCTCGCTTGCCTGATCCGACCCGAAAAGCTCAGAATCCTTTCAGTGCAAAGAGAGACGAGGCGAGCACACTTCAGCGGAAACGCGGGAAACATCCCTGCCTTTTCCGCGATGGGGAGCTTCAGGATGGACTCAAGCATGCGGCGCATGCGGTGCGACAGGAAAACCGGGCAGTCCTGGCACGCGCAAGTCCACCCACTGTAGCGCATATATATATATATATAGAGAGATTTATTTATTTATTTATATATGATTTATATATATATAAATAAATAAATACCATTGCACGGTATCGTATCTTAACATATCATATGAATCACATTACATTGCACCGCAACATTGCATTTTACAACATTATGTTACATTGATTTTGAACTAGGCGACGTCACATTTGCATTGCAGCACATTACGCAAAACATTACACTGCATTGCATTACATCGCATTACACTACATTACAAGACACCACACACGTGGGTGTCCAAACATACCTCGAAAGCTATATTTCGATCAACCCGTATGTTCATAGTATTCAGGAATCATATTTCACATGTTTTATCCGATTAGATGAAGTACGGCGTGCTGTGTGCGACCCAACTCAAGGAAACAAATGCTTGAGCTGGAATTTTAGCATGCAACAGCCGAGCCAGCTACAGGCATAGGAACGCTGGCTGAAGGCTCACGCCCGGGAAAGCAATGCTTTGTGCCTACCAGCCGGAATTGGCCTGCTGCAAGACATAGTCTGCAACATCCGAAATGTCGTCGTCAGAGAGGCGACCTCCAAATGCCGGCATGGCATTTTTGCCGTTGGTGACCTGATACACGATGTCCGACTTGCGGATCATTGGGTATGCCTCCAGGGCATCTTTCCTCAGGCTCCGCTCCGGCATGATGACATTCAGCCCACCGGCATGGCAAGCGGCGCAGTTGGCATTGAAGACCCTCTCTCCGGCCCAAGCATCTCCCAGCTTTGTCTGCAACAGTGCCTCGGTTTCATGAGCACCTCGCTCTGGAAGCAATGGGATCGTGTGGCTGGCAAGGAGCTCCTTCTTGTCCGCATCACTGATGCTGTGGGTAAACCGCATTGCGGCATCATAGCATTTCTTCTCGGCCTTCACCATTGCATGAAGCTCTGGGTGCTCGGAGAGCTTGTCCTCATTCAGCGTGGCTGCCTCACTGCCGCGGCTGTCCTTCCAGCCCTCATTGCTTGGGTGGCGGTTGCTGTCATAAATCTCCTGCAGATGCGGATGGCTCTTCTGATCAATGGCCGCGAGGACTTGATCCAAGTCCTCCGAGACAAAGTGCTCGCAGGGCTTTGCATTGCCCTTTGTGATGCGCAGAAGATGCTTGTTCAACAGACCGTTGGACTCTCCGTGCGCCGCAAGAAACGCCGGGCCCGGCACCAGCTGCTTCGCGCGTGCCACATCACGCGCTGACAGGGTGCCCTCTCCTTCTGGCATGACTTGCAGCAAGTTCAGCAACTCCCCCTCCTCCTTGCAAGACTTGTCCTCACATGTGACATCTGCTGCTGCCACCACCACGGCGATCAGGGTAAAGATGACCATGATGCTGCTCACACTGCTGGAGACTGAAGACTGATGTGGATGCCAGACCGAGAGGGTAACGAAGGCCAAGCTTGAGCGACGAGGTTTGCGCCAAGTCTTCAAGAGGTGCCTTCTCAGGACAACGGCAACTTTAGCCGTTCAACCATAAAACTATTCCTGCCTCCCAAACAACCCCCCCCCAACACACACACACACACACACCATACACACACTCCTCCAATTTTTGTCTAATCTAGTCTTCCCCAAAGGGTGTTTGTTTGCGGTTTGTGACGAAGACACTTGTCTTGTGGATCACAGGCTTAGCGCTTGACGCTTCGACACCCGCGCAACCGGGTCAACGTGCACAGTTACATTCCCGCGCATCGAACGCGGAGACGTCCAACAAAAACTCCGGCCCTTTAGGCCGAGGCTTTGCGTTTCGTGGGGGGCCCGGACCGTCCGTCTCTTTGAGTTGGTCGGCTTCACCAGAAAAGGGCTCAGAGCTCGTGAGGGGCCAGCGCTCCAAAACATGGCAGGCACCCCCTCGAGCTCCGCCCGCACACGCGCCACCTCCCGCATCTTCCTCGGGCGCAGCTCGAGAGCTGGAGCCGGTCTTTGAAGCTCTGTGTGAGGAACTTTGGGTTGGTGTTGGCTTCTCTTCGAGGCAAACCCAACATGGGGGCCCGCTCGCACCAAATTCATGTGAACATGCAGAGGGGGATGGGCAAAACAGGCCCATTCCTCATGCTCAACTTGGCCCAACATGACCAAAGGCCCTTTCAAAACATGAAACAGCGTTCTGCATGTGTCCCTTTGAACTTTCGTGACAGGGGTTCTTCTTTTGCACACCTTCCTTGGGCCAAGTCTGGCAACGCGTTGAGGGCTATGAGACCGCCTGAGGCCACCGATTTGTCGTCAGCGCGGCCGCCTTTTCAACGGAAAGCCCGCCGTGAGAGCGGGCAGCCCGGCGCGTGCTTCACCTTGACTCAGCCACAACCCGAGAACCCAGCCAATCCGAATGCCAACCCAAAACTGGGGAATCCGAATCTTCACCGAGAAATGGGTGTTTCTCAACATAGGGACACCAAAACGGTGTCCTTTTGGTTTGCTTTTAAGCTTTACAGCGTTTTGAGCTGCAGTTAATTTGACATGCGTGAGGTCTTCAGAAGTGTCAGAGATTGTCGCTCAAACAATCAGAGAACAATCAAACTAAACTGAAGGACTTGCCAACATTCAAAGCCCTGTAGCGACAGTTCCACCGAAAGTGGCACTTGGGAACGCGGATGGTTGCATCTACTTGTGGCATGGCTGGTCCAAAAGCGGACTGTGCTTGGGAATTTCTGGGGCTGAGAGTCCTGCTCGCATCCCGGTTCACAGGCTTGCTGGATGCTGTACTTGACAAATGGTGGGTCCAAAGTCCAAATCGGTGAGCCCCCAGTGAACATCCGATTCAATCCAACCACTAAAATAGGTTCTAAAATGGGTGGTGCACGTACCATTGGTTTTGACCCACAGCAAAATCTTGATGGAACCCCTTGTGAAGGGCCCGACTCAACCACCCCAACCCAAATGAACCAACCAATGGGCGACCTCAAGTTGCCAGAAACTCTGCTTGGATCATCCGAAATACTGAAACCTGGGGTCCCGCGGCTAGCGCCCTCTGCCGAACAGATGGCCGATTCCATTTCGGGAAGCTCCCGATTCAATTTTTGCTGGCCAGCATCCCGCCCAGGTTCCTTTCCTGTCGTGCAAGCAAGCCACTCTCAACTGGCTGTGGGTCAAAACCAATGGGATCCCAGTTTGGAGGTGAATTCATCACCCATTTTAGAACCTATTCTAGTGGTTGGATTGAATCGGATGTTCACTGGGGGCTCACCGATTTGGACTTTGACCCTTCGCACGCTTTCCAGCAAAGCCGCAATCCAGCGCCACGTGAGGTTGATCCTCGGGCCAGACACCTCAGGAAGAAACCAGACGACCAGTACCACCAGACACCTCTCAATCTGTGGCTCAAAAACCGGAATTCCAAAATGGAACCGTGGCAAGTGACACCCATCTGCCAAACCCCAGCAGACGCATGACACTGCCACTTTGGAGCTCCCCTAAAAAGGGAAGTTCAGGCAAACCCTCCTGACACATCCGGATTTGCGCGCCTGGTGTTCACGAGGCACCCGGTGCTGGAGGTGCTTCTGAAGCATTCCCTCCTTAAAGCGCAGGACAAATGTCGCGGTTCCTTTGGACTGGAGGCAGCTTGGAAGACGACCACTGCTTTTGAAAGGGCCTTGCCCACTTCCACGATTGTTGACGCAAGCATTTTGTGAAGAAGATTTCGCGTTAAATATCCAAGGTGGTTGCACTTTTGCTCCAACGCAAAAGCAATAAGCACAGAGCGAAACTGAAGGGACCTCTCACCTGACACCGCAATTACAAAGCCACGGTTGCGCGGCCAGCGCAAGCGTGACCTGTGCTTTGATTCAATCACCAAAGCGCCTAAGCTGCTTCTGGGCAGTCCTCAAAGTTGGGGACCGAAGCTTCCGGCGTTAGGTTCCCTGATGGTTTCCCACGTCCAAGGAGACCGATTCCCATTTCGAGAAACACCCATCTGAGCATTTCTTCGGCTGAAAACGCCCCGCCCAATCGATCAGGCCCAGCTTCCATGGTGCAAAGATCTCCGTCGCCGAGCTCCAGTCTGACTGTGTGGTCTTCCGACGCATCCGACCTGAGCCCCGCGCAGCCAAAAATCCGGATAGCTCCCTGAACCGGTCAGTTCAACTTATCATCTGGTGGTGACCAGCCAGGTGGCGGTATAGACAAGGGGGGGACATGTACTTCCACACCAAAACAGTCCAAGTGAGTTCAGGCGCTATCCCCACCTGTTCGGCCCCTAGGCTGGCATAGCCTGCAGCTTGTTGCGGGGAGAAAAAAACCCTCTGTGAGGCGCAAACCGCGCCTAAAGACCTCGCACCAGCCAGCCATGCCAAAAAACACGAAGCCAATAAGCAAAAATCCCAAAAACTCCCAAGCCCTTTCAGCGGCCTGGAGCCTTCCTGTGCGTCGGGCCAATTCCTGCGCAGCTCGAAGCTGCGGGTGGCGCCCAAGGAGAGGGAGATGATGCGGCAGTCCCTGGACCTCGGATATCCATCGGGGAGTCGAGGGAGTGGACTTGGGATTTCAAGGCAACCAGGCATGGGTTTTTTTCGGGGTCATTCCCTCCGCGAGGAAAATTGTATGAAGAGTGAGTCAACCAGATCAGCTCACCTTCATTGGGCCGTTGGGCCGCGCCGGAGCACCTTGTGCCTCAGCTTTTCCCAACCTGCGACACGATAGGTTGCTTTCTGTTCCAACACAACCTTCCCATCATACGTATCGGAGGGTTCACACCTGCGACGCGCAGTTGTAAAGGATTTACCAACCTTTCTTACCAAAGGGGCCAGCGCGTGACATGGCCAACACTCCCTTGAACTGCTGTTGCTTCTCCGTTGTCCCCTTTTGAAGCAAGTAGAACAATGCACTGTGCGACTCGACCTCTATTTCCTTTTTTGACACTCGAAGCATCTCAATCGACATGTGGCTTCGATTTGATTGGCATGCTCCCTTTGGAGTGTGTTTGCCCCATTCTCACCTTACGTTTTGTCAAGCGTGTTTCTTCTTCGCGTCGCTCTCCCTCTATGCGCACGTCCTCGTTGTCTTCGTCTTCGTCTCCTGGGTGTTTTGATGTTGGGGTTTTCCCTTTGTATCGTTGCTCTTGGCCCTTTTTGCAGGATGGTTTCCTGCTCTTCTGTCTCTGAGGCAGCACTTGGTCTTCCTTGACTTCATCTTTGCCCCTGCTTCTCCACCCCGCCTTCCGCTTGACCCTGTTCTTCCAGCACGTTTGCTTGGGGGATGGCTCCCTTGCCTTCCACCAGTCATCTTCGCAGCGCTCTTCGTCTACACGGCGTATACGTCGTCTGCACTGAGGGCTGTGGCCCTTGGAGACCCCAAACCTTGGCTCTTGCTTGGTTTCGGTTGCACCATGACGCTGTGGGAAGGAATTCCCGCACCTGCACATATGATTCAATGTCTTTTTGGTCCGCCCCCCTTAACTGCTGTTGCTTCTCTCTCGGGTTTCCCCTTTGAAGTACGTAGGAAGCCTGTTCGACTCAACCTGCATTCCATATCACTCGATAATTACACTGCGCCGCCATTCAGTTTGATTGGTATACTCCCTGAAAATTATAAGCGTGCGTTTGTGCGTAAATTGCGACAGCCTGAGAGCGGCACTTTCCCTGAAAGAGCTGCTCATCATCAGCATGCCACCCCACAGACATTCCTTGGCTCATGTCGGACGGTCAAAAGCTCAAGGCAGACGCACGGCGCCGGACCTTAAAAGCAAGGCCTGGTCTTTCTCATTGCTGGCGAGAGCCACGAAATCCCCATCACATGTTTCAGACGATCTGTACGGCTTCCAAATGTCGACCCCCCCCCTAAAAAAAAAGACCCCTAAAAAAAAGACGGAGGAAAAAAAATGGACAGACAAAAGAGACGCAGCCACCGATGAGCGCGAAAACCTGACGCCGATGTCAGGCGGGCGGCCACCAGCCTCGTAGAGGTTCAGATTGCAGCTGTTGGGCCAGTCCTGGCAGGAAACCGGCAAACCGCCCTTCAGCCAAAAAAAATGAAAAAAAAGCACCGTTTTATGTGTGTGTGTGTGTGTGTGTGTGTGTGTGTGTGTGTGTGTGTGTGTGTGTGTGTGTGTGTGTGTGTGTGTGTGTGTGTGTGTGTGTGTGTGTGTGTGTGTGTGTGTGTGTGTGTGTGTGTGTGTGTGTGTGTGTGTGTGTGTGTGTGTGTGTGTGTGTGTGTGTGTGTGTGTGTGTGTGTGTGTGTGTGTGTGTGTGTGTGTGTGTGTGTGTGTGTGTGTGTGTGTGTGTGTGTGTGTGTGTGTGTGTGTGTGTGTGTGTGTGTGTGTGTGTGTGTGTGTGTGTGTGTGTGTGTGTGTGTGTGTGTGTGTGTGTGTGTGTGTGTGTGTGTGTGTGTGTGTGTGTGTGTGTGTGTGTGTGTGTGTGTGTGTGTGTGTGTGTGTGTGTGTGTGTGTGTGTGTGTGTGTGTGTGTGTGTGTGTGTGTGTGTGTGTGTGTGTGTGTGTGTGTGTGTGTGTGTGTGTGTGTGTGTGTGTGTGTGTGTGTGTGTGTGTGTGTGTGTGTGTGTGTGTGTGTGTGTGTGTGTGTGTGTGTGTGTGTGTGTGTGTGTGCGTGTGTTTGCGCGCGTTTGTGTCTGTGTTAGAGTCTGCCCATCTGACCGAATAAAAAGCCGATGTTCGAAGGTGCCCTTCGCACACACTTCTAGCTTCTGCTCCTTTACCAGCCCAAACAGCACTCCAATAGGCGCCCCCGCATGACCCAATGCATCAGCGTGCACATCCACTGCGGATACTGCTGCGGCTCCACCTCAATCCGGCCATATCCTCAGCTCCACTCTGGGCCTAATCGCGACCGCAATCTGTCCTGTTTGGACAAAAAATATCGGGCTGCCAAACTGAAACCCAAGGACTCCATCTGTTTTCGGGAAAGAGAACTTGTGACTCCTTGCACCTGCAGGCTCTTTGCCCACGAGGCCAGCTCTGCCTGGGGGCAAGAAGGAGAAGCCACCATTCGAGTCAGTTCCTCTTGCACACCGGGGGTCTGTATGTACACGCGCAGTCGAAGTAGACCATCCAGGCTGTCTTGCGGGGGATGGGGCCGTTGGGCCCCGCAGGCTGCAGCCAGTTGGCTCCTAGGAGGAGCCGACCACGAATTTGACGGGACCGTCCTTGTTTCATGTTGCCTTACCACATGTTGTTGGAACTCCGAAATGCCATGCAGCCCAGAACCCCGCCTGACAAGGCTTTTTCGTAGAAGGACGCGCACACGTCTCTACCTGACAGCTTGCATCATCTTCATCACGCTATCTGGCCAATGACGCTATCTGGCCAATGATTTGGCTTGAGGAGCTTTCAATTCAAGTGGGTTCTTCCCAGTGTTCCGCCAGTCCCCGCTTGGAATCACTGCAGCTGAGGCGATTTGGTCCTTGAGCCAGGCGGCTCAAGGTGCGCGGGAGGAAGCCCACAAAGCTCCTCCGGCTCTCGTCCTTCAGAACCTGGGCTCCCTCGTAGGGTTGTCTCCCAAAAGATAGGGCGGCGTCCCTCTGGTTCTTTCCATTCCCAAAAGGGCGATATGCTGACCACATATTAATCAACCACAGCTTATTAATAGGGGGGTGTCTCCCCGGGTTTAGTGCGGAGTCATCACTTTTGGAGGGGAGCACCCCTTATTAATAAACTGGGGTTGTTTCCATCACAAAAAGCACAAGGTGAGGAGAGTTCCGCCTGACTCTCACAGGAGCAACACGGAAGCAAAGCCACTGCACCTTAGCACCCCACATATCGCCAGGGGAGGTTCCTCGGATGCGGCAAGGGCATGACAAACAGGACATCAAGCGAACACAATGACACTGCTCCTCATAGATAACCCTGGGGCTTGCTCTCCAAACAAAAAAGTTGATAAAGGTGCCTGCAATCGTAGACTAACAGAAAGAGAATGGTCAGCTTCCCTCTCCCAAGCCGTGGCTTTTCTTCGCAAAACCCCATTCGCTGGACCAAGCACAAACCCACCAACCGCTCAACCGCCTCAGGCGCCCACGGGGGCGCCTCCTCGCCGATCAGCTTCAGGCCCGTCTTTTCACGGGGCTCCTCCGGAGGACCCACCCAATGTGTGCCCAATGGGTTCAAAAATGGGTTGCCCTGGTAAATGGAAACTTAGACTAAAACCTGCGTAACCCTAGGTCTTGAATTTTGAGCACCCCAATCCTTCAATGTTCCGTTGCTTTAAAAGCTGTGATATGGACCAGTCGAGGCTCTGAACGAAACACGCCGGTCCATGTGCCCGCCGCATTTGTTGCTGACTCGGTACTGGCTCCTCAAAAGAGATGTACTTACAGAATCTCTCTATGTGTGGTGTCTCTGCGGTGTATGCACGGGTCGTAACCCGTAGACCCGCTTTGTGATTCTGTGGCTAATGCAACATGACACTTCCGAGTAGTCCCCTTCACCAACACGACCCGCGCCTCCCAGGTGTCCCCATGCTTCTCCGGTGGGCCTGGATAGCTCGAGGTGCTGCACAATTCCTATTTGCAGTAGCACACCTGCATTGGATAATCAACATCTGAAGAGCAAAGCCTCATGTTGAGGTTTGCTCTGGCTATGGCCCAAAATCGCGGACCCATGCTGTTTTGAGACCCGAACCCTGGGCTGACAACCCCGACTTCACCATGTTGGCAGCGGCCTTCAAGTAACGGCTCCCTCCACCTCCGTTCCACCCGAAGCTGGCTTCCAGGCGCGCGCCTCCCATTGCCAGCGCCGCCGCCGCCGTGGCCGGGGCCGAGCCCGGCGCCGGCGCTGGCGCCGGTGCCGGGGCCGGGGCCGGGGCGGTTGGTTCGCCCTGGCCCTGGCCGGGTGGTAGAGGAGTGGCAGAATGACGGCCCCAAGATCCCAAAGGCTTGCGGGGAATCACCAAGAAGCAGTCGAAACGGGGGGCGGTGCCACGGTTCGTCGACGTCAGCGCCCCAAGATGCCTTTGGACCCATCCAACAAGCCTCGCGCCTCGGAGCTAGGCCCTGCAGCAATGAGGGCATCCAGACTTGTCATGTCCTGTGCGCGTCCGGCGCGCAGTGGGGAGGTGAGGAAACAAAAAACAAAGCGAACTGGTTTCTGGTGGTTTCACAACGGCAAAAGGCAGCCAACAATTTTGAAATGGTAATCTATTCCAAGACAAACCCGCGCATTGGCACAACTATGCCAAACACCGTCGCAAACCCCCCCACTGCCACCTTCGCATCGTTGCTTGAGTTAATCCCTCCCACATTTGCACGTGCACCTTACACCATGCGTCTCAAGATACACTAAGCCATCGGCATCTGGATTGCACGGCACTTTGGTCGGCTCCTTGCGAGGCGCAACTTCAGTTCAGTGTGCTCGGCAGTTCCAAAATGCGACGACGACCCCGACACGCCGAACGCCGGCGCCCGCCGCCTGACGCCCCGACTCTCTCTATCCCTCTCTCTCTCTCTCTCTCGCTCTCTCTCTCTCTCTATCTCTCTCTGTCTCTCTCTCTCTCTCTCTCGCTCTCTCTCTGATGCCCAAACGCCCAGACGCTGCAATGCTCCGACTCCCCACCGCCCCAACGGCTCAAATTGGTTTTCCGCTACAGTCAGAGCGGCACTCACTCGCCGGGTTTACGCACCACCGCGTGTCTTCGCATCCTGCGCATCTTCGGCGTCTTCTTATCTTCTCGCATCATCTGGCGTCAATAACGTCAAGTTTTGGTGTCTTCTTCTCGCGCTCTTTCGCCTTCCTGTCTTCTTCTCGCGCCGTCGCGCGTCTCCTCGCGCCTTCGCCGCGAGCACAATGCGAGCGGTTCGACTCCATCTGACTCTCACGCCTCCTCGTCCTTCCGCGCGGCTTTCGCCGCAGCCGCCTGGCCGTGTCAACACACCGAAGACGCAATCACCCGGAAGCCTTTCAAATTCCCCGAATGGAAGATAACACATGGGTGCCCCAGGGACCTACATTCGCTGCAATAGCTGGCACGCTTTTGGTAAGATCTCTTTGAGGGATAAGTCCTGTTCTCTTGCCAAGCTGCAATGAACTCATCCAAGCCTGTGGTCTCACCAGCTGCGGCCTGAATTCTGCAAGTGCAACTTGCGTCATTAACAGGTCCCGAGTCTTCAAGTGATCCAGCTTTTCCTTGCAGTTTGGACAGGGGCCCCATGAGGCTTTCTGGGTCCATCTGCGCCTAGCACGCTGAAACCAACTCCCAGCTTGCAGCCAAGCAGCGGACGAGGAGCTGTCCTGAGAGGAAAGAGTCCAGCCAAAGCCCGGCAGCTTCGAACATAGAAGTTATAACTTTGGCTTTATCTGGCTGTGGGTCAAAAATGGGTACCCAAAATTGAACCCTGGTAAGTGGAAACATGGACCAAAACCTGCGGTTTTCTGGCGGATCAATTTTGACCCATACCGAATCTGGCTGCCCCAAAATGGCGCAAGCCCTGGTGCATGGAAACAAGGCCCAACATATGCGGTCCCCTGGCGGTTTAATTTTGACCCATCTCAGTTGCTTCTTGGACTGACTGCTCTCGGGCACTCGAGTTGTTTGCTAATAGGACATACTGACATAGTGGAAACCGAATGAAACGTATTCGAGCTATGCGCGAGAAACGTGCCGGACAGCTGCTCTGACCTGCTAGACACCTGCTGTATGCATGATATAAGATGTTCAGAAGTATGTTAACTTGTACCAGGCATCTGACAATAAGCATGCTAGCTAGACGTGACATATTAGACAAACGCTAGACAGTGCTATGACTTCTGTCAGACAAGAGTCAGACATGTACTGGAGACATGCTGGAAACAGGTTCAACTTACAGCAGACTTCTGCTAGACACATGGCAGGCATGTGCTTGTTCTGGAAGCACATGCTAATGCCCCTGGCGTTTCTCACAGCGAGGCATGGAGTTTGCATCAAAACAGCCAAAGAGAACCTTTGTGCCTGTATATACATGCGGCACATGCTGGTTCTCTGTGGGGTGTCGCTTTCAAGCCATCCCAAAAATGGCTCCTGGCTTTGACCTTTCACCACATGACCCCAAACATCTTTGCCGCGCCACACTGGAGCTGCTCTCCCGCCGCCGCTTCCGCTTCTTCTTCTCCTTCTTCCTGCACGGGTACGAACCAGGGACAGTGTGCTCTGGTTCTCCGAGAGGACGTTGCGACACACGTGTCGTTTTTTTTTGCGCGGGGTGCGGAATGTGGGGCCCAATGATCCAACTGAGTCACTGTCAGCTCGCCGCAGCTCCGTCCCCACCAGCCACTGGCAAAGGACAAATTGAGGTGTCCTTTTCTTGAGGGTACCTACTTTGCGGCAGCTTTGAGGAATTTGGAGGGATCCCAATGTTAAGACGTACTCGAAATGGTCTATTCATGGCCAAAGGAGACGAGCCTCTTCTTGGCCATCGCCATGAACGCAGCCCACTGCCTCATCTCTGCCATGTAGTGGCCATGTACAGCCATGCACGTATGTCTGAGACATCTCTGGCAACACTTGGGGTGGTCCTTACACAAGGACACCCCGAAAGATTGGTGGCGTCCTTTGGTCTTCAAACCCCCACACGGGTCACCCCGATGGCCGAGGCACTGCTGCTGCAGCATGAAGGGCGAGAAGGGCATGCCGCCCCTCGGCGCCGTGCCCGCGTGCCCTCCCCCGAGAGAAGAAAAAAAAGCGCGCGCGAGCGAGGTGCCGAAAACCGGGCGGCGAATCCTTGCAGCTCAGCGGCATCAAAGGCATCGGCATCGCATGGCCTCGCACCGACTTGGTCAAAGCACGCGCTTTGAAAGCCGCCCTTCCGGCCAAACCATGTTCCATGGCCAAATGCAAGAAAGCCTTGTGGCAAGCATTTTGTGTGCTCAGTCTGAGTCATCCATCTCACCGTTGGGTTGCTTACAAAACTTTCGAAAGCCTCCGACCAAAGGGTCAACCAGCCATAAGCCAAGGCCTCAGAGCGAACCAACTGCGGAAAACAACCCGCAGAGGTCCCAAAGAAGGCGCCCTCCAAAACGAGGCGCGCTGTCGCAACCAAACGTGGACTGGCCTTCTCATCCCTGAAACATGCCGAGTCTGTCGACATTGGATGGAGGGCTGTGGCCAAAGAGAAGTCGAACACGCGGATCACCAGGCGCACGGGAAAACCCTGGGGCCCGGGCCGTTGGACCTGCGCTTCTCCCGGCTCCGAGACTTGGCCTTCCGCTTCTCCTCGGATGCGTTCCGCATTCTCGGCTCGGCTCGGCCCGGAGCTGTGGCGCTTAGATGCCTTTGCCCAAAGTCAATTCTGTGGGTGGAGGTTAGATGCCGTTTACTCCATGAGCAATCGAATTTAGGTTGGATGCCTTTTCTTCCAAACCGAAGATTGATGGTTGCCTGAGCAACCTGGGAGTGAGCAGGCATCCTGTACTAACGCTGCTCCACATGCTTGGCTTCCCCGCCGCAGGCCCATAGGGGGCCAGAGTTCCCTTCGCCGTCGCCCCGCCCACGGAACGCGCGGAACGCGCGGAACGCGCGGAGCGCGCGCCTCGCGGTGCTTCCCCATGTGGCGCGGAGAGGCGCCGCCCAGGGCATGGCTGGGGCGCAACCCGCGCTGACTGCACCGCCGCCGCGAACCAAAAGCTGAATGGCTCCAAAGGCTCCAAAGGCCCAAGGCGTTCGAAGGCGCTGGGAGGAGTGTTCAGCCCAACTCTTGAGCCAAGGAGTTGTGATCCTCGTGTAAATTTGGCGGAGTGGGCTGTTGCCAGCTTAAGCCAATTGCAGCGGGAGCGAGGGAATGCCCTTCAACAGCTCGGGTGCACCAAGGCTACTGCGCGCTGGGATCCCTGCACCAAGGCTACTGCGCGCCGGGATCCCTGCACCAAGGCTACTGTGCGCTGAGATCCCCGCTGCTTCTGAACCTCTCTCATCTCCCTTCGCATTTGGTCTAATTCATCCTGGTCAAGCTTCAGCACTCTGAAGCATTTGAACAAAATACGGGCGCAGGTCAAGGCTCGGTCAAGGGCAAAATGAAAGTAAACATTTGAAGATCCAACTGGTTTGAACACATTTTGTGGCACTTCAAAACGTTACCAGAGCAAATCAGCATGCGGGCCATCCTTCCAATGAGTAGACAACCATGACTATGACAGGGACTCCTCTGTGGAACTTTAATGGGGACCCTTTTGTGGACGGGAGTGTATGCCTCACACGCAGAGCGCGTCCTTGCTTCTGAAGATCGTGGCTCCGGTATTGAACTCTTCGATCTCAAAAGAAGCAGCCCTTGGAGCATGACGCCACAAGCTCCCAAACAAAACCAAATCCAATCAAATCCAATCAAAAACCCAAGTTCAATCCGGCAAAACCAGGTCGAAACCAATCCAATCAAAGAAAATCCCATCAAAACGAAATGAAATCAAAGTGATGAGAGCCACCAACAGTCCCCTTTTTGCGCTGCGTATGCCTTGCAGGCACACACATCTCTTAGGCACACCTCTCTTAGGGCGCGCACAGTACGCCATCGTTGGCAGCGGCCACTTGGGTACTGCCTCAATGGTGCGGGCCAGGGCTGTAGGAAACTTCGCTAAGATAGCGAAGTGGGATTCCCATACCTACTGTGGATGGACGAAATCCTGCACCGCCCAGGAAACCCTGGAATGATGATTCCCCTGTAAATACCAACAAACAATGGGCTTCCCATGGTTTCGAAGTGGTGCAGGATTTCGTCCATCCACAGTATGCATGAGTCCTAGACTACTTTGCCACTTTGTAGGCGATTCCCGTATTATCATGGACAGTGGCCAAAAAGTCTCCTGGAAAAACCTGAATAGCATTCATGTTCCCCAGAAAAACAACTAACAAACTTTGGAAAGTTGCAAAGTACCCGTTTGAGAACCAAATGAGCACCCAAACTTGGGTCACCTGACAGGGGGAACCTTCATGGGAAAGCTTGATCCTGCGGAGGGGAAAAGAATGAGAGGTAAGAGCGCTTGTACAAGGAGCCTCAGAACAAGTATGGTTGGTGTCATGTTCCTCCCAAAAAAAAAGAAGCTCTGGTGATATCCCCAACAGCATGCGGTGCTTTTTTTGTGCTCGCACCACCCCGCAGCCCTCGCAGAACCTCGTGGAACCCTGGTGGAACCCTAGTGGAACCCTCCTGGAACCCTCGTGGAACCCTCGTGGAACCCTGGTGGAACCCTGGTAAAACCCTCGTGGAACCTTACCTCAGGGCCGCCCCGGACCACCCGAGCCTATCTGGGTTGAGACCCCAAAGCTTCCAGCTGATAGGGAAAAATAAAATGCCCTGATTTTGGCACACGGACGCATGCTGCCTTGGTCCCCACCAACTTCCAGGATTGAGGCGCCCGCTGGCGACTTTCCTGCGGAAGTCGAAACCGTGCAATCTTCACCACTCATGTTTCCGGGCTATCCTGGTTAGAGGCAAACCCAGCTTAGCCCTTGATCTGTGACCCGCCGCGCCACGCCTTTGCTGAAGGGGTGGAGCATCGATTTGCGTTCAGGAAGGAACGTGGGACAACTGCAGAGAAACGGAAAGGGCAAACATCCACCGTGCCCTCGAGTCAAAGCACTGCCAAAAGCGAGCGCGAGTCTCCTTTCGGCTGCACGAAGACGGGCAAGCGCTGCCTGCAGGGGTTTTCATAGTGTGAATGCCTTCCGCATGGTGGCCCAGTTACAACCTGGGGAGGGGATCCCCTCTGAAATCAAGTTCCTTTCTTGGGTGGTCTAGACATCACCTCTTGGGCCAATTGTTAGGTGAAAGCCTGGGACCACAAAGCCTGGGACAAAGCAAGCCTCCCCCTGCCGGCCCCTCCTCCCCTCCTGCAGGCCTTCTGCACGTCCAGCACACGCTGCAAGTCCTACACCCACCAAACGGACCGGCTTAGGGGCATTGCCAACCGGATGAATCCAAGGGGAACAAACTGGAAAGGGTAAACTGAACATCTAAGTCAAACCAAGTGGGGATTTCTCACATGTCCCCCCAAATAGGCCATTGATCACGGGATACTTCGACTAAAAAGCCCCATGGACAAACTCAGTCATGCTTCCGACCTGGACCAATGCTCAGCTCAGGGCTGGGACGTCATGCTGTCGACGGTCGTAGTCCTGGTGTTCAGCTTCCGAGCAGGCTTGCGCATTAAGGCAGAACCTCTAAGGGAACTCGCAAGCGTCCTTGCCTGCACACGTGCTGAAAGGATGTAGTTCCGTTTTGCCCCAATTCCCCACCCTTCTGCCCCAGATGTAAAATGACCCTTAGGCAATGCCACATAGGCGCCCTCCTCTCGAATCCGCGCCAGGCATGCTGCACACATGGCTCACGCAAGGCATGGGATTCAGTAGATCAGCTGCTTGAGTCCATCGACTTTGGGCTCCAAGATGCTTGTAAAGACCCGGCTTCACTGTCCTCTCCGTTGAACAGGCGAGTAGTTTGGCCGGGATTTGGGCGCTGCACACATCTCTGCCGTCCATGTTGCCCGGTCATGTGGGAGTCTTCTTTGCTGCCGCTTTTTAGGGTTGCTTGAAAAGGAAACGAACGCAAAGTCAGCATTTTGTTGGGGGGCTCCTAATAAACAGGACTCATGTTTCGAAATACGTGGTCCGCCGCTTACATCGTCCTCTCCCGTACTCTCATTGATCACGCTGTGATGAAGCTGGAGAGCAGGGCCAGATGTCCGGATGTCCTAAACTCGGACAAAGGACTGCCGTTTTGATGAAGGGGAACCAACAGCAATCCGATCAGTTTCAGGAGCCAGTTCCTAGTTTTGCAAGCACCCACACAGTTCCAAAGCCACCCAGCTACCCGTGCCACTTGACCCCTGAGCACGCCCGGACATGCTCAGAGCGGACCGCGCAGTTTCCAACTTTTCCGAAAATCGCGCAGAGCGTGGACCCCCCAGGCGCAGGGCTGCTGCGCTGCACTCACGCCTAGCAGAACGGATGCATGCATGAACTGGAATGCAAACTGAACTGGCTTCTCGCTTTCCTGACAGCGGTATGTCACAACTGGAAATGTCAGCCTTTTGTTGGGCACCCTGTTTGGGTGGATCAAAGCCGGCAACCAGAAACCTTTGTGGGTTCCCCCCATTTCAAGACACCTCAACGAGTGCCCCAGGCTCCCGCCCCGCCTTCACCTCGCGGCTGGGCCGCAGCCCGGGGCCCCAGGGCGCCGGCGTGCCATTGCGGCGCTTCTCCCAGTGGCCTCAGACGAGCTGCGACGGCTGGACGGAAGCTGCGACGTCCGGCGAGAGGAAGTTGGTTGCACCTGGGTGCGTCCAATGTTGTTGTTTAGGGGGTACAAACCAAACCTTTAAAAAAAAAACTTGTTTTATTAGGGGACCCCCCCCCAAAAAAAAAAAATGGTGGGGGGGGTTCGCTATTGGTATCCCAAGCAACCAAAAGGGGGGTGAAGCTCTGCCTTTTTTTGCCGGCGACAGCCACAGGTCTGGCCAATGGGCTACTTCCGACGCCAGATTGCGCAGGGCATCCTGGAGGCAAGGTACACCTTGCCGGTTCGAAAATGCAACCAAACCCCAAACCCCAATCCCCAAAACGAAACCCCCCCAACCCCCCCAACCCCCAAACCCCCCCCAACCCCCCCCAACCCCCCCAAACCCCCCACCCCCCCCAAACCCCCCAACCCCACCCCCAACAACCCCACCCAACCCCCAACCCCCCCCCAACCGCCCCGCAACCCACGTGCCGCCCGAATCTGGCGCTGCCCACCAAACCCCCCCCACCCCAAACCCCCCCCAACCCACCCCACCCCCAACCCACCCACCGCCCCCTCATCCACCCATCCCCCCAACCCACCCCAAACCCCCCCAACCAACCCCACCCCCCCAACCCACCCCACCCCCAACCCACCCCCCCAACCCCTATCTTCACACGTGCACCCAGAACACTACTCAATCATCAGAAGCTAGGTCACTGCCATTTAGTTCAGCACACTCACGACAGGAACTGAACAACGAGAAAGTTTTTTTACACCAACTCGCAGCCCATCAGCTCCACCAGGTTCTTATACAGTTCCTCATCACATCCAGTCTCCCACTGCCGCGAGCTCCGCAGCAAAATCTTGGAACTGATTGCAATTGGCCCATATAGCAGCTCCGGCCTATTCAAGCGACTTCCAATAGGCTGATTAGTGTCATCACTGCAAGCTTCAACAAAGATGTGATCTCTGCTATCCTGCCCAGACCAGCTGAAGTTGATAATGCAGTAATTGCGATCGAGGACTCTGTTCACCGAGTGTTGACCATGCCATGAGCTAGCTTTGTTGCTGATGTAGCTCACCAAGTTCTTCTGGTTCACCAACAAAATTCCCACTCTACCAGTGAATGTGTTCTTGTGAACATAGCACAGCGACACCTGCTGCACTTTGTTCACCTCCCCAAAGCGGTGAATGGTGGGTGAGATGATGATAACATCACCTTCACACCCACCAATCTCAACACGGGGAGCCTCCAGATCATTCGCATCAGCTTCCTTTGCAGCTGAGCAACTCTTCTCCACCAACTCAATGGAACGCATAGCCACTGCCAACGGTCC